TACAATCCACTTGAAAGGGTTGAAAAGAAAGATTCATCGTTGTCCATGGATTTTGAATGTGGATTAATCAGTCAATCCGAAAAAATTTCAACGATCATGGAAGAGCCTGAAGTGAATGACAACTTGATCACAAAGGAACTAAACGAAGATGTAGAAATCAATGAAGATGAAAACTACGTACATTCGTCCAAATTCATTAATTATATGGAAATTGATTTTGTGATTAAGCTTGACGAAGAGATTGAAGTCTACATTGTTGAGTTTGAATTAGATGACATGAAAAGATCCTATTACATTGAAAATGACAATGACGAGGCTTGGAGAAACAATGAAGAGTGGAGCAAAGCCAAAAGAAGAAAAATGGATAAGGCTTCCAAAGCCTTATTCAAAGTTCCATGACGCAATTGCCAAAGTCAAGCTAATGACTATAAACGAGCACTTCTTGGGAGGCAATCCAAGCATTTTTTTTTATTTTTTGTTTTCGATTAATGGGATAGTTTAAGTTATTTTATACTTTTTTATTTAGGAATTCATCAATCATATCCCCGTCTTCCCTTAGGTTTATAAGTAGTCAAGTTGGTTATCAGATGTTTAAACTAAGTAACACTTGTTCCATGTATTTAATATCTAAAATTTGATTTTTCAGGAACATGACGTCACGTAACAATCATATCAACTTTGTTGAGAAGAAATTGGATAAATCGCAAGTTTGGGAGAAAAGCTAGAAGAAGTGCCCATAAATTCAACATCAGAGCACCAAACCGTCGTTGGCAATTCAGACAATTTAGGGAAGTCCTCATATTTATTTTAATTTAATATTGGGGACAATGTTTAGTTTAAGTTTGGGTAGAATGTTTAAATTGTCTAATTGCCTTTATTTTTTATTTTTTTATTATTGCCTTATTTTTGTGTGTGATTTTGTGTGCAAAATTTTTATTTCCGTTTGTTCGTGTGCATTTTTTATATTTCTTAATTAATTGTGTGCATGTTTAAAAATAAATAAACAAATAAAAAAATTTCGTATTTTGTGTGAGTTAGATAGCCTTGCCAATATTGATTTGTTTAATTGAGAACATGTGTTGATTTATGAATTGTGAATAAGTTATTTGTTTGAGTTAGATTTTTGCTTATTCGTGTGAAACGGAAATTATTTTTGCACTTGAGTTGATTGTAGTGTTGTACATGAGTGGGTTGATTCACGTTTATATGTTAGATTAGAGAACTTAGATGCTAAACCCAAATAACCATAAAACATTATTATACCCTTAAATCAAATATAGGATGTTTAGATGATTGCACTGTTGTAGGGAAACTTGGAGATAAATGTGGATTCTGTGTGTGCTAATTTTTGTGTGGATTGTCTGAGACTAATAGGATGGAAATTGGGTGAAAATCTTAAGTTAGATGTCGATTTTCGAGAATAGATGTTTAATAAGGGGCATTGCACTTATTAATCACAAAAAAAAATCATTTTTTATTTTGCATGCTTGTATGAGTTAGATAGCCTTGCCGACGATGATGTATACTATTGAGAACATGTATTGGTTTATGGATTATGGATAAGTTATATATGTGAATTAGATTTTTGCTTATTCGTGTAAAAAAGAAATTATTTTTGCACGTGAGTTGATTGTAGCGTTGTATATGAGTGTGTTTATTCACGTTTATATGTTAGATTAGAGAACTTAGATGCTTAACCCAAACAACTAGAAAACATTATTATATCGTTAAACCAAATATAGGATGTTTGGATGATTGCACTATTGTAGGGAAACTTGGAGATAAATGTGGATTTCGTGTGTGCTAATTTTTGTGTGGACTATCTAAGACTAATAGGATGAAAAATGGGTGAAATCTTAAGTTAAAGGTCAATTTTCGAGAATAGACGTTTAATATGTGGCATTGCACAAAAAAAATGATCCCAATGAGGACAATCATAATAATCTCATTGTGAATTGTCTTTTTGTAGCCTTTATGACTCGAGTGATTAAGCCTGTAAGAGTTTAAAATCTGATGCCCTAAAGTCGTCTGATTTGGGAGTTATCGACCTAAAACTCGCTATAGGAGTCATTTAGAAAGCTTAATGTAGAGACGTTCGGACAAAGGGTGATTAAAAAATAAATTTATATCGAAAAAATGGACATCACATGCATTGATTAAGCCCTAAACACTTGTTTGAAAGGATTAGACTTTTGATAAGGGGTTAGTAACTTGGTTGGTTCCTAGAGGTTGAAGCAGTCAGAAATAAGGAGAATCCTCATTTTATTGATATGTTGAACTACAATGAATAAAATCTGACCAAACTTGAGCGGTGTAAGAAACTAGTATTGAAAATACACCTTAGATTACACCATTGGGCAGAGAAAAGAAAACAAGTTTGAGGGTGTGGGAATCTCACGAGCGAAATAAGGAAATATTTGACTTTTAAGGTCGGGAATTGAATCAACTTATTACTGTATAGCGTTGTACTTAACTCCGTGCACACACACACACACCCGTTTTGCATTGAATATGTAAGAATTCAGCTTGTGCATTATAACTTTGAAGTGATTTATGACATCAATGCTATGTTTTTAATTTTGGGCTATAAAAGCAAGATATCTAGCAAAAGAAATTGTTCTTATGTGATTCTGTAGGTTTTAATTGAGTTTGTGTGTTTGTTTGTTATTCTTTTTAGTTTGTATTTGCTCGAGTACAAGCAAAATATTAAGTTTGGGGGTATTTGATGAGTGCTCTACGTTCATGATATTTATGCCACCTAATTTGTTATTTTGCTACTCTTGAGAGTGTTTTAGAGCTTTTTAATGTGTGTTTTGATATTGTGATGTAAGTTGATGAAATTGAAAGAAATAAGCAAAAGTTAGGGAAATTGGAGAAGATGGCCAAATTGTAAGAGATCCAAAGTTCGGGGACTAAAGTGCAAATATTGAAAAGTTGTGTTGAACCTTGCAATGAAGATTTGAGAGTGCTAGGAGTCAATTGGATGAAAAAAAGATGTCAAATGGATCAAATTTAGTCAAAATATGCTCACAAATCAATTTCTAACCGACAAGTTATGCTCCGAAATTTCAGCCTCACATTGAGACCTGTTTTTTATATAGAAAACGATCGAGTTGACGAATGATTCTTGAAGCAAAGTTGTAGCCTTTTGAGTTAGCTTTCCAATGCATCTTGAATTATCTCAATTGGATATCAGATGCAAAAGTTATGCTAAAAATATTGGAAGATGCGCAGTCTGCCTTTTCGGTCAAACCGAGCGCCGTAGGGCCCATCTTGGGCGCCACAGCGCCCATATGACTGAAAATTAATAGAACAGGCAGCGCCACAGCGCCCATATTTGGCGCCAAGGCGCCGGATATGCGGGAAAATGCGTTTTTATGTTTTTGGACTCTTTTCTTAGCCCAATTCAACCCTATTTCGCCCTAGACCCCCAACATACTATAAATACCATTCAAAAACTCTATTTTCAAGAAGGAGTGAAGGGGACAAGATTGAAGAATTCAACCACACAATTTGAAGGAGGCAAAAAATTGAAGACATCAAAAGGAAGGAGGAACAATATCAAGGAAGAAGATTGAAGATCTATCCAAAAGACTAGTTTTTTCTATCATTTTCCTTATGTTGTTTATTATTATTCCTATGATTTTCATTTATTATACCATGAATTAAACAATTTATCTAGGGGATTGATGTAGCCGAATCAAGATTATGGTTTGATGATTTTATAATTATTTCTTTGATTTTGCTGCATATATTTAATTGTATCATGATTTTAATGCTTTCAATTGCCTGATCAACAATTGGATGATTTGATGCTAGTCAATTCTGACGCTCGAGAGAGTGAAAATTTAGGCGTGATTATAAAAGTGATACAACATAGAATTTATAGGTTTCGAGAGAAAGTATATACCTGTGAAGCTTACTCTATAAAAGAATCGGATCTTTATTAAATTCTTGATTTTCAATTTTGAACAGAAATGTTAGAATTGGGATCTAGGGTTAATTTCTAATAGGTGCTCGAGAGAGGGGGTAAGAAATACATTAGGATTCTTGTTTTTAAATATGAGAAAATTAATTGGAAGAATTTGAAGTCATTGAATCATAATTGAAAGTTAGGTGAAATAAATCCCTAAGCCTTCTCATTTGATAATTTGTATTCCCCAAATTTGTCACATTCAATCACGTTAGTTTAGTTTAAATCGTTCATTCATAAAACATCAATTCAATCATACATTCATCTAAATAAAGTAGAAATTGCATAATTATAGTACTTAGTGAAAATTAAATACAATCTCTGTGGGTTCGACACTCTTACTTCATTACTATATTATAAAATCTGACACCGTACACTTGCGGTATAATTTCACGTTGTGGAAAACGCGTGGCACATGACTGGTGTCATGGTGAGGTAGTGGTTACAAATGTTGATGGTGGTCACAAATGATTTGATTGATTATGACCAATAAACAATTGAGACAAATGAAATAGGTAAATTGTGACCATTAAATAATGTGTAACCTAAAAATTTGATAATCTGTGTTTAATAATTTGATAATTTACAATTTAAACATAATTTATGGTCAATTAATTTGATATTTATATGATCATGAAATAAGTTGTGATTTATAAAATTTTCAATTGTGACCAAAGAATAATATGTGATCCATTATTTTGATAAATTTATGACCATGAAATAATTTGTGATCTATAAAATTTTCAATTGTAACCGAAAAATTATTTGTAACCAATTAATTCAATAATTTGTGACCAAATTATATAGAATTTTGACATTATATTTAATTTATGAAATATATTTTTAATTAATAATTTCAGAAAAGTAATAAATATCTGATTTTTGAAGTTTTAAACCTTTTATCTTAGTTTTGAAATTAGTTATAGTTATACTCTTGAATTTTTCCCAACAGTGGAATTCTGCAAAAAAGTGCAGACATACAAATGAAAGAAGAAGAAGAAACTCACTATCTTATGAAACTCATTAATTATTTCAACATGTCTAAGGATACATTAGAACAGAAACTCACTATCTTATGGAATTTATTCACAGGTTGTGGCAAACTGGGGAGCCTTCTCCAATTGCATTTCCCTGAATAATTACTCATTTCACAAACACAAGCAGGATAATTTTTGTGATGTTCATCATTGAATACATATATAAGATTACCAAATCCAACACATCTAAGGCTTGCAAATTTATCATCTTCATCACTACTATTGTCATATAAGCAGGCAAGTAATTCATCAGGCATGATTTCCATTTCACTGAATTCGAGCGTTTTTTCGTCGATTTTCCATAGAATGAAACAAGGTGATGACCCAAAGTTGTTGCATAATCCTGCCAAAATAAGTCTGTCATGGAGAGAAAGTAAGTATGAAAATAATGCTCCTGGAGGCCTCAGGGTCTGGACAGAACTCCAGTAACGTTTTTCAAGGTCAAAAAACGAGATGAAAAATGAATAAATCCCGAGAACGAAGAATTTTTGTTTGAATAAAGCTGAACATAGCCATTGTGATGAGTTTCCAGGGCGAAAATCAGCTGGCAATGGGGGACAAAGTTCCCAATAATCTTGATTGGGATTGTATATTTCAACAGCTAAACTGTCCTGAAGATCAACAAGGTTACCATTGAACCTCACCCCACCCACGACAATAAACCTGGGAACTTTCGAACTTTTATCAACGTTGTACACGCCAATCAGGGAATTAGACCTGGAATATCCGAGAGGGCTTGTTTGGCTCCAGGAATCACTTAAAACAGGTTTGAAACTGAAATTTTCTGGCGTGATACTGAAACAAAAGCCATTGGAACCAGTAAACAAGTCTTTGGACAAAAGGGATGCTGAGACTGGGAGTTTGATCCATTCATTCGATTCAGGGTCGAATGCAAAAACCTGATTGTTCTTGATGAAGACATTGTTTTGTCTGTAAATAAAAAACCAGGGCTTTTTTCGAGCCGAAACTTGGGTTTTGAAGGAGGAGGAACTGATTATAATCTTCCAGGATTTGCAGACTAAAGATGAACGGATTATGGAGGAAAGAGGGAGGTGAGAAAGGATTAATTCTGTAAGGTCTGAGCCTAAACAATCCCAATTGGTTTCTTCCATTGTGTTGGGAATTGAGACCTACGTGCCAAGGTAAAGTCTCCCGTAGACAATTTCTATAGGAAGTAGAACTCCTAGAAGGTAATAGAGGCGTGCAAATATTTCTCCGACCGGATAAAGATTTGGCCTAATATGAAGAATAGAAAAGAGGGATCTACGAAGAAATGGTTTCTTCCATTTTTTAGGCTTCAGAGTAAGGGTGAGATAGAGGTAAGGAAACTTGCCAGAAATGTGAAGGAATGGAATGGGTGTTATCTTGTTTGTTTGAATAATAAATAGGAAAAAGAAAGAGAGGAATGGTAGTTGGTTGACAGTTGAGTAACATGGCTGCATAAATAAAAACCGTCTCTTGTCTCATTTCCTACGTACAGGGATCATCGAACATGACGAGGAATTAGGAGAGCAACACAAATTTGTATCTATTTTTTAATTATTATCTAAAGGAAAAAGGAAATTATATTACAATGGGGAGAGAAAATTAGAAAGAGACTTCGATGTTATGTCATCTCCTTTGTTCCTTCCCCAGCCCCCTTTTCAACATGTTATCCCCTCGTCCACTCTCCCTTTTCCTTCATCTTACTCTGTCCCTTCCCCGTGTTTCTTGAGAGTCCAAGATACTCGAAAACAGTTCATTGTGAATTTCGTGAATAACATGAAGCAATAAGGTGTACATTAAGGATAAATTATCCTCGATTAAATATCGAAATATAAAATCACTTATAGAGATTTGAGTTCTTTTTCTAATATATAGACTATTTGTCACTTTGGCTATTAAAATAACGTCAATTAAAAAAATAAAAATAAATAAAGAACTGTTTTTACGTATGTTCGGTAAATTCTGAACTTTTGTGCAAAAAAACAATAGAAAGAAGTCGAGTAGTTGCACCCAATAATAATAGAAGTCAATTCCCTTTTCGATTGTTACAACAATTTTGACTCAATCCTCTAAAAGAAATTAAGAATATGACAAGTAGTATGTATTGGAAAGTTTTCTATATTTTTATTTATATACATAAATAAATAAATTAAGTGGGGACTTCTCATGGAAAAAGTCAATATTTCCACCTTATAATAAAACTGTTATGCTTCAAAATCGAGGCTCATAAAGAAGCCCGAGCCTCGGTTTCATAAAGAAGCCCAAGCCTCAAAACCGAGGCTCAAGAAGAAGCCCATGCCTCAACGTTGAGGCTCGGGAAGAAGTCCACGCCTAAAACCAAGGCTCAAAAGGCCCTAAAGCTGAAGCAATGTGTAAGCAGTTGAAGTCTTAAAGTGGAAGCACTGTGTAAGTGACAGAAACTCTAAATCTACATAGTAGCTGAAACCCTGAAGTGAAAGCACTGTGTAAGTGGCCAAAATCTTGAAATTGAAGCATAATGTTAGTGGCCGAAGCCCTAAAGCAGAAGTGCTGAAGTGGAAGTACCGTGTAAGTGGCCGAAGCCCTGAAGCTGAAGCACTCTATAAATGGCCAAAACCCTGAAGTGGAAGCATTGTGTAAGTGATCGAAACCCTGAAGCTAAGGCACTGTGTAAGTGGCTGAAGCCTTGAAGCGAAAGCATTGTGTAATTGGTCGAATCGCTAAAGCCAAAGCACCGTGTGAGTGCCCGAAGTCCTGAAGCCAAAGCACAGTGCAAGAGGTCGAAGCCCTAAAGTCGAAGTACTGTGTAAGTGGCTGAAGCTCTAAAGATTGTGTAAATGGTCGAAGCCCACATTAACGAAGCAGAAGCCTCCTAACCATAAAGGAGCATCTTCCATATTCACTTTCCCCAAGAGATCTTCTACATGGATCTTATTCGAATGATTGATGTGACCCCGTAATGAGTGATATGTCAAAGTCTAGTCAGCATAGGTTATAGATTGGCTACTCCCTTTAAGAGTATTAAATGTGCCACAGGCTAATGAGATCAAACTGATGCCTAGAATAAAATGCTTTAGTTGAGGAGATGAAACGACATGCCTCCTCATCTAAGGCACATTATTTCATGTGCAACACTATAAATACCCCCTCCTTGTATCATTTGAAGGCTAATGCAAGTTTGAACCTTAAAGGCTATTCTTTGTCTTCTCACTTGCTTATTCTACACTCTTATTTGCTAGAGTTTAGATTACTTTGTTTTATTTGAATTGTTTGCGATTGGTTATTATTGTACAATCGTTTCCAAAAATATATTGTCTGAGCCCAAACATATTTGTCTCATGTTATAAAGCCTCTTCCACGTCTAAATCCAAAATATTGTTGACGAGCAATATGTCCATATATGCTAGAATTTACTTAGGTGTACACGGGTGAGCTCGGTATTTGTTGTCCGCGTCACCCTAACAGAAAACGGGGTTGACAAAAACACAAACAATTAATAATTAGTGAGAGTTTCATTACTAAAATACATCCAATACTCAATCGATGGAGCAAACATTAAATCTTTGTTAAATTGGATGTTGAGATAATTAAATTAATCTAGTGCATAGAAAAGTGCTAATTCAATTAGAAATAATTTAGCCCTTGTTTGAGCTCCATTTTAACAAAAAAAATGTTTTCCTTAATAGTGATTTTTGGAGAATGTGTGGTTAAAAAAAATTCAATATACATGTATAATAATTTTGTTGAAAAATATGTGGTTAAAAATGAATTTCAAAAAAATAAGGGTACATTTGATTTGCTATTTTCAAGCTGTTTTCAGTTTGGCAAAACACTAACAACATGTTTGGTCTGTTATTTCTGAAACTACATTTTTTGAAAACAATGATAAATTTATAACATAAACTCAAAA